GGGGTCACCACAGTGGAATGAACCGCCAACTTATCCAGCACGTTTTTACGCAGCTGATACTCTTCCTGCCGCAACCCATCTCTGGGAAACATCCACACACACACAAACATACACACACACACTACGGACAATTTAGCCTACTCAATTCACCTGTACCGCATGTCTTTGGACTAAGGGGGAAACCGGAGCACCCGGAAACCCACGCGAACATGCAAACAGAAGCGCCAACTGAGCCGAGGTTCTAACCAGCGACCCAGAGACGTTCTGTTTTTTTTTATAATTATTTTTTAGGGGTTTTTCACCTTTATTTTGATAGGACAGTAGAGAATTCAGACAGGAAAGCACTGGGAGCAGAGAGAGGGAAAGGATCGGCAAAGGACCTCGAGACGGGAATCGAACCCAGGTCGCCACGAGCACACTGGTGCTATATGTCAGCGCGCAGTACCACTAGGCTACTGGCGCCACCCAGAGACGTTCTTGCTGTGAGGTGACAGCACTACCTACTGTGCCACTGCTTCACCAATTTATAATCATATTTAGTTGAATTAAAAACGTGTATTTTTAATTTATCCTGTTATTTTTTATGCATTTTATTAATGCATTTAAAAATTGTCAAATAGCAAATGCATTTTAAACTGACAGAAACAATTTTTAATAACTATCATGGATTATAATTAATAATTACATAGAAATGTACAGCTTATTTTAGTACAGGTAAACAAATGAGACCTTATTGTAAAGTGATACCAAGATAGCTATTTTATATTAAGCCTAATAAATGTTTACAATTGATAATAATATATAATAATACATAAAATAAATACCAACAATATGCTTAAAAATATAGCTTTTTAAATTAATTATAAAGAAGTTAATATTTCATATAAATATAATTACATTTTAAGCTATTTGCCAAGGATTTATTTATTTTTAATTAGTTTGATCTTTAATCTAAGAATATTTAATAAATCTTCAATGATTATATTACAAATGTTGATTATGCAATACTTTACTCAATCCTGCTTAATTTAAATCAGTTTTTGTTTCATAATTATTATTTTAAAATATTTGTTCTACATTGTTTACATCACGTTTAGGTGAAATAATATATACAGAATAGCCAATTTTCATCCAGCTATTGTACTGTAGATATTGAGTAGAATCTTTGTAGTATCTTCATTCATTTTCCTTTAGCTTAGTCCACTCATACACTACGGCCAATTTAGTGTATTCAATTACCCTATAGCGCATGTGTTTATATGTGTGCGGGAAATCGGAGCACCCGAAGGAAACCCATGCCAACACGGGGAGAACATGCAAACTCCACACAGAAATGCCGACTCAAACCAGTGACCTTCTTGCTGTAAGGCCGATGAGCCACCTGCGCCGCCTGTAGTAACTTCACTCAAATGCAAACAAACTGCACTGAATTGAATTAAAAGATCATTCTGCGTGGGATCATATAGTCTCTCTCTGAAAGACGAGTCAGGGGTTTGAGTGCTGAGGGGAAACTGGATCTGCCCAATGGGAGAGCAGCAACCGGTCACCATGACAACCAGCACCACAGGAGCGCCTCGGTCAGTAGGATATGAACTATGTTCAACATCTGAAATATATGAACGCTTTAATATACCAACAAGCTGCTTAGTAAAGTCAGAAGTCAAAGAGGACTTGGCAAACGACTGGAGTTTCAGTTTCTGTGTGAGTGTTGAAGCACTGACCCAATAACCTGCTGGCACACACAGACTAAACAGCTAAACTAATTGTTCTCAATGAGCCAAACACTCCCTGTGAATAACACCACACACCTCTCAGACACATGATTAGATAATTAGCCTCAATAATGGGAATATTTTTTCCATTTAGTTTAATAACGAACTCCAACTGATTATTATTTTTATCTTTGTCATGATTACAGAGCATAATATTTCACTAGAAATTTTTATTTAAATTTATTTTATGTTTATTATTAACACTCGAGTACAATCATACAATATTTCTTTTTTGTAATTATTTTTAGGGGGTTTTCACCATTAATTTGGATAGGATAGTGGAGGTTATAGACAGGAAAGTATTGGGAGCAGAGGGAGAGAACACAGACTCATTCTGAAAACGTAGTCCATCGGACATTTCTGGAGACCGAGAAATACGTCCCGGGAGGTACATACTTTTGCAATTTTTGTTTTCACAAATGATGTAGCCGGAGGTACATATGGCTGCATTTCATTTTTTAAACGAACACTACGGGGCGGTGTGATGCTGTTCCTTTTTGTGCTTACTGGCTGACCGCTTACTTCCGTGTGGAGGGCTTTCCGCTGCAACCAGTTTGTCCAGTTAGCTCATTGTGCATGCAGGCGGACTTGAGGCGCAGAGAGGAGTTGAGCACAATGACGTCGGGGTTCGAGTCCGGGGAAGAGCGGTTTCAGAAATCAGGTAAGACAAAAACAGAACCCAAAAAATAAAATGAACAGGTGAATAACAGGGTGAGAGTGTGGTAAAATCCGAAAAAGTTGTAAAATCAGACAAGGGCTTTTCTTTTTCTAGACAGCTTTAGTAAATTGTTGGTTGGGCTTAGGGAAGTAAGCAGGTGGGAGGGTCAATCGATAAAACTGGTTGGGTTTAGGGAAGGAGGAGGATGGGTCAGTCGATTGGCCGGTCGACCAGTCAGTGAGACAGATAGTCAATTGACAGCGGTCTCTGGTGGGTTTACGTGAGAACAGCGGGCACGAATTTTATGACATGAAAAAGCGCACACACTGGCCTGTCGTGGGTTCGTGAAAACAAAAACTGCAAAAATACGTACCTCCCAGGACATATTTTGCGGTCTCCAGAAATGTCCACTAGATTACATTTTCAGAATGAGCCTGTGTTAGAGAGAGAAGAAGTGTCGGCAAAGGACCTTGAGCCGGGAATTGAACTCAGGTCATCGTGAGCACCATGGTGCTATATGTGAAGTAACATTTAGATCTCACTATGTGACCTTAAATGACATACAATTTGCATACATTATTGCCAGGTGTACTTACTATTCATTAATGAATGAATGAATGAATTAATTAATCCATTCATTCATTCATTCATTTTCCTTTAGCTTAGTTTCTTTATTCATCAGGGGTCACCACAGAGAAATGAACCACCAACTATTCCAGCATCTGTTTTACACAGCGGAGGCCAACACAGTACTAGGAAACATCCATACAAACTAATTCACACTCTGGAGCACCCAGAGGAATCCCAGGCCAACACGGGGAGAACATGCAAACTCCACACAGAAATGACAACTGGCTCAGCCTAGGCATGGGACGATAACCGTTTTCAAGGTATACCGCGGTTTGGAAAAGTCAAGGTTTTAAAACTGCCCAAAATTTCAGTAATACTTTTCCTAAGGTACATGTAAGGATTTTAAATTTTTTTTATTTTTTTTTTTAGGACAACAGTATCTTCAGCAGAAAAGATCTGTTCAATTGTAAAGAAATCGTTTTTTGAAATAAATGAAGACAGCAGAAGTCAATGATTCATGTTCATTATTTAGTCTGACATGTTTACTGTTCCATAGTATTTTAAATCTTTCAAAAAATAAAATTTATATTTGTATATTTGTATATATATATTTGTTTGTTTTCAAAGGTGGAATTTTTTTTTTTTTTTACGCAGACATTAAAAAAGAATATATTTTAGTGCAGTAATCACCAGAGATGGGTGACTTAAGTCACATGACTTGACTCAAGTCAGACTTAAGTCGCAAAATTTAGGACTTGAGACTTGCTTGACAAATATCCAAAAAGACTCGACTTAACTTGGACTTGACTGTCATGACTTGACTTGAGACTTGACTTGGACTTGATTTAAATGACTAAAAATAACTTGTTTTTTTTTTAAATAAATAACTGTTTGTTATATATTATGCATTACATACAAAACCGCAAATATAAGTGTTACACATGCAAATATAAATTGCAAAAGAATTTACAACAGTTCAAAAATCTACAAAAATTTGATTGACTTGAAAGTGACTTGCTAGACCAAGCTACTGTATGACTTGACTTGAGATAAGCAGTGACTCGACTTAACTTGACTTGCTTGAGACTTGAAGGTCATGACTCGAGACTGGCTTGTGACTTGCATATGTGTGACTCTCTGGTAATCACAATACCGTGAAACCGTGATATTTTTATCCAAGATTATCATACCGTCAGAATCTTACACCGGCCCATGCCTAGCCGGGAGTAACCATGTCACCCCATGCTACCTATTCATAGTACTCAAATCTTTTTAAATTATAAAAGAAAAATAGCATAAAATGAAAAGAAAATATTAATAATAATGCAAATTAATCGACTATTTACAGGGTAAGAACGTGTGTCCTGATATAATTCCTTCTGGAATAATCTCAAATGAGCAACTTCATTTTACACATAGTTATTACACAGACAGAATACACTGTGAATATATATATATATAACCACACATCAGCATGTCAGGTCTGGGCGACAACAACACTCAGTGCCTCAGTGGTTAGCACTGTCACCTCACAGCATGAAGGTCGCTGGTTCAGATCCCGGCTGGGCCAGTTGACATTTCTGTGTGGAGTTTGCATGTTCTCCCCGTGTTGGCGTGGGTTTCCTCCAGGTGCTCTGGTTTCCCCCACAGTCCAAACACATGCGCTATAGGGGAATTGAATAAGCTAAATTGGCCGCAGTGTATGAGAGTGAAGGAGTGTGTATGGGTGTACTAGTTTGCAGCTGGTAGGGCATACACTGTGTAAAACATATGCTGTATATGTTGGCGGTTCATTCCGCTGTGGAGACCCCTGATAAATAAGAGACTAAACCAAAGGAAAATGAATGAAAATCCGCTTGTCTGAAATATAATCAATGCATTTTCTACATTTTCCCAGAAATATATCCTACAAGTTGACTACAGAAGTAGCTTGGTCACTCTTGTTGACAACAGAAGTAGCTTGGTCACTCTTGTTGACTACAGAAGTAGCTTGGTCACTCTTGTTGACAACAGAAGTAGCTTGGTTGCTCTTGTTGTAGCCATTTGGTGTGATTGCTTTTAACTAGACATTTTGTGTGACATTTAAAGACTTACCTAGATTAATTAGGGTAAAGTTAGGGTAATTAGGCAAGTCAATGTATAACAGTGGTTTGTTCTGGAGACAATAAAAGACAAAATATTGCTGAAAGGGCTAATAATATTGAACTTAAAATGGGTTTAAAACAATTAAAAACTGCTTTTATTCTAGCCGAAATAAAACGAATAAGACTTTCTGATTTTCTTCAGAAGAAAAAATGTTGGTATCATTTTATTTTGATGGTTCCTTTAATGCATTTTGTTGAATTTAAGTTACACTGCATGGCAACTATTCTCATTACACTGTAAGTAGACTGTTAGGGTTAAGGTTAGGGATAGTGTAAGTTGCCATACTGTACATGCACAGTTTCTTATAGTCAGATAAATGTCTGCTGAAGGAGCAGTATCAGCAGATATTAAGCAGACAGTCTACTACCATACTATGCATAGTAGCATGTATTGCAATGCAACTTTTAGTCAACAAAATATGCAATAGGAACCATCAAAATAAAATGTGAAATATTGTGAATAATTAATTGCTCTCATCAACAGCTTAAACATAATTTGGTAAGTATTTGAAAAAGAAAAAAAATCACATCACTGAAAAAAAATATTAATTGAATTTACAATTCTTTTTAAGGTGAGTGATTGCAAACAATGTATATGGGATGAATTTACACAAACAAGTTAAGCTGCATGATACTAAAATTAATTAGTTTGTTTAAATTCATCCCATATAGGTTGTTTGCAAACACCATAGCTTAAAAAAGTCAATCCAATAATCATTTTTTCCAGTGCAGCAGCGCTAATAATTGTGAATTTAGCTGTATATTCAGTATGTCCCATCCGCGTCTAAACAGTAGCTGTGTGTGTATAACTGACTCCAGCAGTGTGTGTGCATGCAAGTACCCGCAGGCAGGCTGATGAAGGCTGCAGTGAGGATGGTGCAGTCGATGCCTCTCCTCTCCCACCAGCTGCTGAGTCTGACGGTCTCCTGCACCCGCCGCGAGAGCTCCATCATCAGCGTCTCCCGCTCCGCCGGCTTCAGCTGCTCCTGCCCGGCCGCAGAACCTTCTCCTGCCACGCCGGAGTTTCTGCTCTTCATCTGCATGCTGGAGCTCACCTCACACACTCATGGCGCACCGCACACACACATTCACACACAAACACACTCTCCCTGCGTCCCGTCCGCGAGTCAAGACAGTGGAGGAGTTTAGTGCTGACTGCGCCTAAAACACACTCACACTCTCTCCCCCTCTCTCTCTCCCTCTGTGCATGTGTGTGTGCGCGTTTCAGGTTCCCTCGGCGATGCCTTTGGCAGGAGTGTCCTCAATGCTGCGTCACCTCCTCCACAACAATACGGTGCATGACACAAACACACACCTGGAAAAAACATATATCATGCATTCCCAGAATATTATGAATGGTACATTTTGTCAAATCATAGTGCAGGTGTAGACAAAAAAATATTTTTTCATAATATGTGTCTTTGAGCCATATATTGTGGTTATTGTTGATGAGATAATAGCTTGTGGTACTTTGAAAATGTTTTATCCAAATTCTTTCCTCCACAATAAATACATTATATATATAAATATATATATAAATATATATACATACACATAAATATATATATA